TCCCCTCATGCCTAACGCGGGTGTTTCTCTCCCTCAGGGTGGCCAACTCCATTCGGAGAGTGTTCATCGCAGAGGTCCCCATCATAGGTACAGCTCCTGCTAACCGGGAGTCCATCAGGCTGCGGTCCCTGTTGTGTTCAGCTGTGCCCCCCTTCATTTTCCCCTCCATTTCCAAGCTGTCCTCAGCCCACCTTACCCCTGCTTAGCCAGCACGGTGTATAAATAGGTGCTGTCTCGGCTTCACAGCAGTCTCCATAACATTTTCTGTTCTCCTGCAAACTGCTCGGCTTTTCCCCACAGAAATATGTCTCAGCTTGTGGCTTTTTCCTCTGCAGCCATTGACTGGGTCCAGATAGACGCCAACTCCTCTGTGCTCCATGACGAATTCATTGCACACAGGCTGGGTGAGTGCTGGGCATGGAGAGGAAGATGAAGATGTGCAGCAGGGCAGAGGGCATGGGTGAAATGTCTGGAGATGCTGAAACACCTTTGTCCGGAGACTGCTGCCTCTCTGCCTATCTTGGCAGGAGGGTTGGTGCTCCTGTGGTCTCACTCAAACTGTCCCCCAATTTCCTTCTTCCCCCAGGTCTCATCCCCCTCACCAGTGATGACATTGTGGATAAGATGCAATATTCCAGAGTGAGTCAAGCAAAGTGTCATGGGTGCCTATTTTGATGGCAGTGGGTGTCTGATCTGATGGGAAATGCTACTGAATTGCTGGGAAAGGTTTGTTGTAAAGATATTGACTGGTGTCTGTCCCAGGACTGCACGTGTGATGAGTTTTGTCCAGAGTGCTCTGTGGAGTTCACCCTTGATGTCCGGTGCAATGAAGACCAGACTCGTCACGTCACGTCTCGTGATCTCATCTCCAACAACCCCCGGGTCATACCGGTCAGTGCAGTCCCTCTGCTTGTCAGAGTCCCATCTCTGTTCCTTTTGAGGCAGGGGTAGTGAACACACGGCATGTGGACAAAACAAGGCCTTCAAGCACACTTCATGTTGCCTAAAACCTCACTTAGAGCAAAGCAGGAATACCTGCAGAAACAGCAGTGTGTGCCAGTGCTCTCCTCTTTGCCTTGTGGTCCTTCACATGCTGTATGCTGGTCTGTCAAAGCAGTATGGCCTCATCCTGCATCCTTATCTCTAACTCTTGGGAGGCTTTTGTGTAGCCACTTCATCTCTCCTCGAACACATGGAGTGTGTGCACTTGTGTCCTGCTGCTGTGTCACCGCCTTCTGCCTGCTTGCTGCTGGGGCTCGGGCAGGATCAGCCTCTTCACAGGCTTGGATTTGTTGCTGTAGTCACCTTAGAGCACGTCTTTGGAGTCTCTAATTTTTGTAGGCATCTGCTATTTGATGTGGGGAATAAAGTTGATCTTGCCGTTAATTTGCTTGCTTTTGTTCTCCTGCAGGTAACGTCTCGGAGCAGAGACAACGACCCAAATGACTATGTGGAGCAGGACGGTAAGTGGCGTTTCACTGGGAATAAAAGCTGGAGGGGGAAATGGATTTTTCTTTCAGGCTCTTTGAACTCATTCTTCCTTTACTGTCTGCTTAACTGTTACGCAGCTGTAAAACTGGCCACTGAGACACCGCTGTCACCGCATCAGTGAGGTGAACATTTTGTCTTAATGCCACTTAGGTTATCCCCAGAACTGAAGTCCTGTGTCAGAGGGTGCTTGTGAGAGCTTAGAGACAGCAAAGATCCAAAATGCCATGCTGTCTGCTGTTGCCTGGGGGCCTGAGCTGTGCCTTTGAGCATATGCAACTCCTTTTTACTTAGCAAGATGTTTTCCAGCTACTCTGGGGACACAAATGAGCCCCTGTAGGAATCCAAGCGAGCCCTGGCTTCTGGTGACACCTTCCTGGGTACTAAAAATTCCTACTGTTGCCCTTGGGTGATCTGCACATTCATTTCTCTTCTGCAGCCTTTTCAAACGGGCGTGTACTTTTCCACAGACATCCTCATTGTGAAGCTGCGGAAGGGCCAGGAGCTGCGGCTGCGAGCTTATGCCAAGAAGGGCTTTGGCAAGGAGCACGCCAAGTGGAACCCCACCGCAGGTGTAGCCTTTGAGTACGACCCCGACAATGCGCTGAGGCACACCGTGTACCCCAAACCGGAGGAGTGGTATGTCCTAATGTTTGTCTGCAGAAGATTCTCCAGAAGGGACCTATGTTTTAGTTTGGGCCAGTAGGCGCTTGTGAGCGTGCCTGTCTCTTGACCTGCACAAACTCTGCTGCTGTGTTAGGGTACTAAAGCCAGTCCATTGGTTGCAGCTGCTTGCAAGGCAGACTGGTTTGTGGCCACCTCTTGTCCTCCCCTCATGCACTGTCACTGCTGTTTTACCTCTTTCATGTCCTTTCCTACAACTCGTTCCTGTTTTTTCTTCCCTGCACCCATAGTATGTAGGTCAGGGTAAGGTCTGTGGAAGGAATAGATCCACAGGAGGTGGAAGAGGTCGCTACGAGAGTAAAGAGCAGAAGGCTAGGGTGCAAGGATGATTTTGCAGCCCTGTTCGCTTGAGGAAGCCCAGTGTGTGGGTCTAGTTTCACCCATATGTCTCCTCACTCCTGGAGTGTGAGCTCTGGCAGCAGGGTTTTCCTCTCTGGCCTTTGCTCTGCTCTGACTTATCATTTTGCACCGGTAGCATCTAAAAGTGACACAATTCTGCTTTTGGAAAGCTGCTGCCCTGCTTTGGCCAGGGTGAGGTCTTCACCTGGCAGTACTCAGCAGATACCTGAGCTGCTTCTGGCTCCATATCTCAGTGACCACCTACCAGAAATCCTATCACTGAGCATGCTGGAGCCAGCAGCAGAGCAAGGAGGCAAGGCAGGCTGAGAGCAGGGACTAGAGGGGCAGTGGATGTGCTGCCATGGCAGAGCAGCAGTCAGAGCTGCGCTCAAGGTTGGGAAGCCCTTGGTGCAGGAGCAGGATTTGGTGCAGGGACTGCAGAACCCAGGGCTGAGCAAGTGGGGACAACAGCCTGAGCAGAGCTGCAGCTGGAGAGGAGCTGAGCGGCAGAAGGGGCTCAGTAGGTTTTCCTCTGGCCCTGCACTGCCAAATTTGGCTCTGCAAATGGCTGCAAGCAGTAGCAGGCAGGTTGTGGGCTATTGTACCTCCACACTGTCTGCTGTGAGCATGAGTGCTCAAACCCATCACAGAGCATGGCCTTACACTGTCCCTTGCTAAGTTAGTTATCACTAACAAGCTTCCTGCAGGTGCAGTTAGCAGAGATTTCACACCTCAGCTGGACTGCCAGGGGCTTTCTGCTCAGTAGCTGTCATGGAGATCCTGTGCAGCTGGGATTGCACTCAGGAGACTTGAGAAGCGTTTTGTCACCGCGGGTGGAGTTGCAGGTGGATCCGTAACAGGCATGAAATGTGCTGGGATCTGCCTGCAGCCATCCCAGCCCTGTGTTACAGATGGAAGGAACAAACCTGGCTTGGCTTTGATGGGCTCTGCAGGGCACGTCTGTGTGTCCGGTTCAGTCAGTCTGGGTGAGAACGGGACATGCCAGGCGTTCAGCTCCCCCAGCAGGATGGTGCTCTGGGATCTGCAGGCGGCACTGGGCTGCCTGGTAGTGCAGGGAGTCTGGGATTGGGCATTTTCCGTAGTGTTGGTGATCTGTACACATGGACTGAACCTGGGCTTTGGGAGCTGCCAGCTACAGACCAGGCTGGTGAGGGAAAAGTATGCAAGGCCGGTTGTGGTGAGGTGGTGCAGAGCCAAGGAGGATGCTGCTCCGCGATCTTATGGTTGGTGGCACATCACAAGAGTTGATTTGCCGGCCTGTGCTTTGTCACCAGCAGTTTTGAGGATGGAACTGGATAATTTTGAATTTTACAAATTATTTGTGGCAGGTAAATTGCCTCAAAGTTTAGCTGTTTGTCTGGATGACTGGGTGCTTGAAAGAAAGAATGTTCCTGTGATGTGGAATTTCAAACTGGAATTGGAAATCACTTTAAGCTTAATTTTGGTGCCATAAAGATTCTCTGGTTTAATTTCTGTAATGTTAGATAGGAAGTCTTTGACACCAATGAAGTGGCAGACCAGAGGTACTGCTTTGAGTTGGACAGAAATGCCAGGCAAGCTGAGGTATCATTGAGTTTGCCTTCTTCTTGGACGGGGTATGTCACAGTGTGAATTTTGGAGAGTCTGAGCTTTTGTAGATGTTGGTGTTGTGGAGAACAGGCCCAGCTGCGTGGCTGAGCACGGGTACCTCAGCAATGAGGCACTTCCTTGGCTGGATGGCCCAGGGTGGCTGCTAATGTGGATCCTTTTGTTCAGTGGCAGCATCAGCTGCATCTTCAGGAACCTGATGTGTTACACAGCAAGCTGGGTACCTGGAAACAGTTTTTTTGAGAAGTTCTTGACAAAATATATGTAAAAGTTGGAAAAATCTCATAGAAAGATTGTTGCTGTTGCTGCCTGTTCCCTGGTGATGTATCTGTCTCTCCAAGTTTATCCAGTTTCCCATGAAGACAGCACAGAGACACAGGCCTCTGCTATCCAAGGCTAGCTATTATTTTTGGTTTGTTTTCATGCTTGTTGCTTTCTGAGGCCATTGGCAGAGCACTGATGCGCAGCTGGACTCTCAAAGCGGCTGTCATGGTGGAAACCTCTGCCCTGTTTTTGGGTCATGAGTGATTTTGCAAGTAACGGGAAGACTCAGCTCTGTTAACACTTTGTCACTCTCAGGGGTTTGCTACTGACAGAGGTTTTGTTTGGGAGGTGCAGTTGTACTTCAGGCAGCTGGTGACAGGGTGCTAGGATCAGTCTTTCGTGCCATTGCTGGGGCAGAGGAAGGCGAGCAGCAGACCTTGGTGGGCACGGGATTTTCTGTGCTGGCTTCTCAGGCAGCTCAAGGCTTTGGGTTTCCTTACATGGATTAAGTGCTTCCAGTCTCTCCAGTATGATGCTCTATAAGCCAAGGGATGCAACAGGCAGAAAGATGTGTTGGCCTACCTGATGCATATGTGTTGCAGTCCTTTCAGTAGCAATGTGTGTTGAGGGGTAGGGGTGCAGGACATCAGGATGGGGCTCACTGGTGCAGCTGATGTCTGAAGAACAGGACATTTTCCTGCTGGGGAAAACCCGACCGGGCCTTCCCATCTCAGCTGTGCTGCACATACTGAGTGCTCTGGTATTCTCCTGGCCCAGTGAAAAGCAGAAAGAGAAGAAAACACAAGGTCTATTGCTCCATGAACAGCGTCCAGGCTCCGTAAACACATCACATCAGGCAGCAGCATCCCTTTGCTGTCAGCACCTGCCAGATTGTGCTGGTGTACATGGAGCTCACACAGGGCTTGCTGGATTTGGGCAGAGTGGGGCTGATCCTCTTCCTCCAGCGATGCTAGATGACTGCGTGGTGTTGAGGAGGAGCCAGAATTGTGAGACTGGGCTTTTTTTCTGTGACTTGATGTTTGATGGCTGCTTCTTTGTCTTCTCCTTTGCCTGCTGGACATCAGCCCCAGTGCTGCAGTGCCTGGGTGCTGTGGGGCTGGGCTAGAGCATGGGCTCTGTGCTGACCTTCCCTGCTCTTTGATTGCAGGCCCAAGAGCGAGTACTCGGAGATCGATGAGGAGGATCCTCAGGCTCCCTATGACCCCAATGGGAAGCCAGAGAGGTAGGAAGCTGATTGCGCTGCTGCAGCAAGAAAACGGGGGAACCAGCTACGTGCATTTTTGACTTTTGTTAAGACAGAAGTATCTACTCTGCGCTGAAGTTTGCCAGCCTGGGGAGCTGGTGTTCCCTGAAAAACAGGGCAGAAATTGGAGTTCACTGGTGATATGCCCAGGCCTGGCAGGTTTTCCCCTCTGGGAGATACTCACCAGCTCTACTGAGTTTGTGTTATCAAGTAGGGCAGTGCAGCACTCGGTGAAGTGCGATGCCTGTGAGGGAAAATGACACAGGATATTTATTCACTCTTGTGCTCCGATGGCTGGTGATAGCCCCTCTCCCAGGTTATTTGCACTGCAGAAGTGCCTGCAGCCAGTCCGACTCCCTGGCGGGGGGCTCTGTGCTGGCTCACGGGTCACAGTGCTGAGTGGAGGAAACCTCAGAAGTGCCTGTGCAGGCTGTGGAGTCAGGGGTGTTGGTGTGATGGCTGTAGAGGGGCAGCGCTGGCTGTTGCCCAGCTGGGACATGAATGATGCTGATGGTTGGGATTCCCTGCAGTAGGTCAGGAGGGGCTGGAACTGCTCTGCGAGTGCTCTCTGGTTTTGCACCTCCTGGCAGGGTGGGTGGTGACTGATCCCCCTCACTTGTGACCTCAGGTTTTATTACAACGTGGAGTCCTGCGGTTCTCTGCGCCCAGAGACCATCGTTCTCTCTGCGCTCTCTGGCCTGAAGAAGAAACTGAGTGACCTCCAGACCCAGCTGAGCCATGAGATTCAGAGCGATGTCCTCACTATAAACTGAGGTGGTCTCTTGCAAGAGAGTGTTCAGGCGTGAGTGATACAGAAGTTTCTAGCTCTCTGGATTGAGACTTTTACCTCCCCATCTCTCTCTGCCTTTCCTGGCCCAGCTCTGAGGTCGGTGATGCCTCTTCCTTGGCCCTCCCTTCCCAAGGAAAGCCATGGTGATGTATAGGGTGAAGCAGGAATTGACTCAGTGACCTTCTTTGCTGGGATGGGCTTCATCTCTAATTGATCCCAGAGTTTTAGGGCCAAGTTTTGGTTTCTGTTCGTGTGGTGTTTGGGATTGGGAAGCACACACCTTGGTTACTTTTACTTTTTTTTTGCTTTATTTGTGTGTCTGTTCCTTACTGTGCTGAATAAAACCTTACCCCCCGTGTTCTGTCATCCCTGAAAGCTCATCCGGGGCTGCAGGAGGAGATGTCACCTCATTTACTTCTCTCCAGTAGACATTAACTTAATGAGATCTGCCTTGGATGGAGCATTGCTCTCCACTGCTGATTGCTGCTCTTGACATTATCTCCTAAGGAGACCAGAACCCGCTCCAGCAGGTAGCCTGTCATTCACCGATCCAGCGCTGCATTTAAAGCAGATGTTTGAGGCCGGGCTGGTAAGCGAGATGCTGCAGAAGGCAGTGCTGCAGGGGAGCCCAGATGGGCCAGGCAGGCTTAGCTGTATTTAAAGACTCCTTTGGAGCAGACTACTATGCACTATATAATCTTTGTGTTAGGAGCCGAGATGGCAGGGAGTCTGTTATTAACAACCCCTGCCCAACAGCTTCCAGTGTGCCCACAGCCCCAGGGTGGGTTATGTGCTGGGCTGGAGCTTGGGGCAAGTCCCAAACTGACCACCATGGCTGAAGGGCTCTGGCAGTTCCCTGGCTCACCCCTTCTCCCCTGTCAGTGCCCAGCAGGACTTGGGATGAGCTGCTTGGTGACACCTCTGCTGGAGCTGGGCTGCTGCTTTGGTGTCCCTGCTGTGGCACAGCTTCCCAAGAGCTGTCCCTGTCCCAGGGGAGCACTGCCTGACTGGCGTGGCTGCCTCGCCTTGAGGCCAGTGCTCTGCCAGTCACTGCACGGATAACCCAACTCCCAGTTTGGGACGAACTGGGAGGTGGAGCAGCTTGAAACTCGTTCACCCAGGGACTTGGAGCCACCACTGTCCTGGCACATCCCTGGAGCCACGGGTGGCTGGAGGCGAGGGGTGACTGGGGTGCTGGCATCCTGTTTCACGTGGGGTGGTTTGATGGAGGATAGAAACTCACTCCACCCTTTTCCCTTCCTCAGATGTTTTAGGGGTTCACTTGAAACGTCCTGGCCAGGGCTGGAGGCAGAACAAAGCTTTGAGCCAAGCTCTGCCGGCAGAGCTGGGAAATCTTCCCCCGTCAGCATTTTTCTCTCTGGCAGGCGCTACTCCCACTTGCACTTCCCGAGCGCGTTTGGATGGAACAGGCAAACAGGAAGGGTGGATAAGGGTTGTTTATTCATTGAGCAACTCCTTAAAAAAAGAAAACCCAAACATTTTTGGTAATAAGTGTTAAATCTTTTCCAGATGAGGTGTGTAGCCAGGAAAGGAGTGCAGGTTACACCTCTCACCCGGGCGTGCTACTGGGCAGTACTGGGGTGCTGAGCTGTGCTGCAGGGAGCAGCCCTTCTCCGTCCTGCTGGCCCCCCAGTCTCAGCCACAAGCTACACCAACCCAAGACACAGTATTTACAGACCACAGGTTCCCACATCACGACACTCCCTGTCCCCAAAGCACAGACCCGGAGCTTTACAGGCAGAAATAAAACCACTGACCACCCAACCCAGACTGAAAGAAGACTTCAAAGAAACACCAAGGTTTGCACAGCAATAAAAAGATAGCCCTTCTAAAGGAGGTCAATAAATAGGAGAACTAGAAAAAATCAATTGCTTTTGAGTTCAGCACATGAAGCCCAGCTCCCCCCCGGGTGGGGGCTTTCACCCAGCCACTCTGGTGGGCAAGGAGGGAGCAAGGACATTGGGAGCGCACAGAGAAACGTGGCTCTTGCCCCATCAGCACGGCCTTCTCTGCCCAGGGACTTTGTATATCCACAAAGCTGCCCCTCAAGGGACAGATGCTACTGGCCAAAACCAGTCCCTGGGTTGCCCACCAGCAGATAAGCCAGAGACGTGGCTGTGGGGGAGTGGCTGCAGGTGGAGCAGTGAGAGATGCTGGGATGGGGGCAGCCCGGGAAAGTCAGGGGGTTTGGCTGTGCCCACTGCTCACCCCAGCCCACCCCGGGAAGGAAAACCAGTGTCTCCTGAGACATCTCAATTCTCCAGCGAGGATTTCAATAGTTCTGAGAAGTGCAAAAACCAGCTCAGGGGTGGCAGGGTGCCCCCAGGAGCACCCCACTCTTCATGGTAGTGGGGGGGTTTAATGCTGGTGCCCCACGCCTTCAGCCTGGCACAGCCGCATCCTCCAGAACCGCTCCATCCCTGCAGCAGGGCAATAATCCAGCCTTCCCCGCCATGCCAAAAACACAACAAATTTCTTGCCCCCCCTTCTCTGTCTCCCACTTGCATCCCCAAAAGTCAAAAACCTCTGAGCATCTTTGCCCGAGGGTTCTTCAGTGGCCACAAAGTTTGCATTCGTGTGAGAAGGAAAAAAATCTCTTACAATACGGATACTTGATAAATAATTCCAGTCAGTCGAGGCTAAGCCAGCCATCACCTCCACTAACGTCAGGCCAGGGCACAAGCCAGCACCTGCTCCCCAAGACCTTGGCATGGAGGATGCCCCAGCTTGGTCTCCCTGGGGACTCGGAGGACTCGGCTGTCTGCGTCCTTGCCACCCCTTGGGGAAGATAAAGGGGACCCCCTGTCAAGGTCCCCTCCCAGCTGCCAGCTCACGGGGATGATGTGGGCTCCCTGCTTTCAGGCTTGTCGCTTTTGGAGGACTTTGGCTTCAGCAAGATGAACCTGTTGAGGAGGTCGGTGTCCGAGCTGGCTTGGGCGCCTGCGTACACATCCCCTGGGGACAAAACAGAGGGTGGGCTCGTGTCGGGGGGATCAGGACACCCCAGGGGGCTGGAGGCTCCTCAGGGGGAGATGGTGACGCTCACCAGTGTAGCTGGAGGACTCGGCCATGTTCTGGGAGCCGGTGATGTGGTGCCAGTAGGCGCTGCGGGGCAGCATGGTGGTGGGGGTGCAGGGGTAGGAGAAGTGCTCGGTGCCCTTGTTCAGCAGCTGCGGTGGGTGAGATGGGGGGTGAGGGTGACACAGGGCACCCCGATCCCACCCCCAGCCATGTCCCTGGAGTGGGCTGGCGCTCACCCTGACGTTCTTCTCCATCTCCAGCAGGACCCTCTTGTGCTGCTCGGCGATGGCCAACGTGGCGCTGTGCACGCGCTGGTAGATCTGCTCACCCTCCTGTGTCTGGAAGGTGTAGAGACCTTCCCCCGCGTCACACATCCTGCAGGGACAGGGCATGGGACGTCACTGGGGTCCCCAAGCCAAGGGATGATAAAAAAATACCGCCCCCCCCCAGATGGCAGCTGGCTCAGCTTCCCATGTCTTAAGTGCTGTCCCCATGTCCCCTCCATGGTGTTGAGCTGGGACTTGAACCAGCTCCAAACCTCCCCAGCTCCAAACCTCCCTACCCTAATGGCCATCACCCTGGTATCCGGCCTGCCCTGGGGTGATGGCACCAGTGCCACCTCCTGATGTGCCCAGCAGGACAAAGGCACCCAGTGGTGGTCCCTCATCCCCACAAAGGTGGCAGCTCACCGTCCGGCCTCGAAGGTGAAGCGGGTGGCATCGCGCCCATAGCGGCGCAGGGAGCAGAGGGGCCAAGAGAGCAGCTTCACCCGGGGGTTGCGCGTGTCCCAGAGGTAGATGTTTTCATGGGTGATCTGCAGCTTGCACTCGCCGTAAACGTCCAGGTTGGGGCAGGGGAGGAGGAACACGTTGAACCGGTCTGGAGAGGGGAAGGAAAAAAAATTTTAAAAAAGAAAACAAAATTAATTCGGGGGAGGGAAGTAGCGAGGTGGAGCCCCCCGCCGCCACGCGCTCACCCGTCTGCTCGCACTGCACGCCG